ACCGTGAGCGGTGCTCACGTAGCCCCAACAGCCGGGATAGGACACCGTCCCCTCATGTAGCACCAATGGCTGGGCTGGGACACCATCCCTCACATAGCTCCAGTGGCCCCGCCGAGGACCATGTCCTGTCATGTAGCGCTGATGGCAGGGCCGGGACACTGTCCCCTCAGTTTGGCACCAACAACCAGGCTGGGACACCATCCTGTCACCCATCGAGCATTAACATTCACATTTGTTTTAGCAGCTCAGCTTTGCTCAGAAAAAAACAAAAAGGTCAATCCTGCTGCATCCCTGGGTGCATAAGGACGGCTCAGTAATTCCTGCGCTGTGAGTCACCCGTCTCCAGTGCAGCGGTGAGTCCAAGTCATGTTGACCCTGCATGAGTCAGCGCCCTGGGTACTCGTGCTGAGGAAGTATAGGTTGGATCCTGCGGGACCCACCAGGCAAATTAGGTCCCCTCTCAGCCAGCTGCAACGACGGCAGCTGCTCTCCTGCCTCCCGCGTCACCTCCTCGCAGCCCCTGGCCAAGGGACACGAGAGAAGAGCAGCTGTGAGCTGAGCTGGAGCCTTCTTGCTGTGCGGAGCTGGCCCGCAGCTAGAGCGGCCTGTGTGCTCATCCTCTCTGCTCATCCTGTTTTTACCACACTAAAAATCTTAAAATCTTAAATTACGAACTGGTAACAACATCCATGTTACACTCAGTAACATTTGGATTGTCCCTAGCACCTGCATGCTAATGCGGCATGGCTAAATTTCCCTAAATTTGCCAATATAACAAGGTTTCTGATTTCTTAAGCCACAAATACTCCATAGGGCATATGGTCTTTTCCTTATACAGAGACTTCAAAGATGTAACTTTTATTAGAACAAACCACTTAAAATATTTCCACTTAAGGGAATGTGAAAGTTGACTTCGAACTCTGCAGGTTGCTGCAGTTTGAAAACTTCCTTGAACTCAGAACATTTTTTCATGGCCTCTCTTTTCATTCAAGGTATTTCATAGCGGCCCTGGCTGACAAAGCAGCGACGTCGAGCACAGCCCTATGGATGGAGTGTGCAGAGCCACCGCTCAGCGCCCGCTTCACCCTCGAGTCGGTGCAGGAGCCTCTGCTGCTCCATGAGCCGGCGGTGCCCATAAATCCTGCCCTGCACATCAGGCTGCTATTTAGAGGTGCAGTATCATTAGCCCGTTTCTAAATGTGCTGGAAAAGGAAGTTGCTTTCCAAAATGTGCCCCTGTCTGCCCAGGAGAGAGAAGAGGTGCCCAGACAGCACAGGAGAAAAAGTGGGAAGGTGCTGAAGCTCCCGTGCCGCAGGCACTGAGCGGCTGTGCGTCACTTCACGGGAGACACTGTTTACAGGGCACGGCGGTTTCACACCCAGCATGTTTCTGTGCAGACATATTGCTTGTGCAGGAAAGGTGTCACCCAGCTGCCCACGGACTCTACACGGAATGGGAATAATGTGGCCACCCCAGACATCTCTCTTGATAGGATGGAAAGGATCTCAGTGACAAGGAATACAGTGAATAGATGAGAGTCTAGAATATATTGCCTCCACTCGGGGGCACATTCCCTAACTATGAATTTATACAAGGCAATATGTTCCCTTCTTTGCAGGGGAAACAAGCTCACGTGAAGCTCCATGATTTAGTGCAAAAACCAGATCTTTGAATCTGGCTCATGTGTTTCTAAATAGTCACAGTCTAGACACACTGATATACTGGGCTTTTTTGTTTTGTTCTATTTTCTGTCATTTGGACTGACAGTAATGTCCTTCGCATTTCCAGTTAGAGTATGCAGGTATAAATCAGAGCAGAGCCAAGTTCCAGCCATCTAGGAGGTGGGGAACGTGCTAGGTTTTCACAGGAATGTTGACTAATTACCTACTTGACCATTTGGGGCTGTTTTAAAGGAATTGAACCGTTTTAGTCTTGTGAGCTGGGGGAAAAAAACATACGCACATATGTATGTTTTTCAGCCTTCCAGTGACTAAAACTGATGACATTTAGAATTTTTGTGGAAAATTATAGCATTTCTTAAGTGAGGAAATAAAGGGAAAAACATTGATGTTACCTGTGAAATAAAATGAAGAAAAAAATATACTGATTTAATCAAAATGTTTTAGTTTTTAATTAAAACCTCCAGTGATGTTTTTCTTTTGCCAGGGAATCTAGAGGTTTGAACTTCCAGATCCTAACTCCATTCTTCCCAATAAACAATGCTGCACAAGCACTACAAATCTCGACTGAAATGCTGGAGCAGGGAAGGGGAAGGATGCCGGCCTGGGCACTTTTTTACACCAGAAACATGATAGAGAAGGTTCACCAGGAGGTCCGGATTGGAGCTGGGCCACTGTGTGTTTCAAATGGTCCTGAATCTGCTTGGGGTTACTAAATCAAATAGGAAACCTGAGCGAGGGTTTTCTCAAAGCTCTTCTGTTATTTTCATTGTTTTTTGTTGTTGTTGTTGTTTTTGTTTTTTGTTTTGCTTTCCCAAGTGGAAAGTAAGGCTGGGCTAATGGAAGGCATTATCTGTATTTACAGAATTTTACCTTTTTAAGAAAAAACAAAACAAACAAACACACAAACAAACACCTTTGGATACCAAGAGTAGAAAGTAACACCTAGAAAACTTCTCCAGGCAGAGAAACCTGATATTCCCAATTGGAAAATGCATTTAGCTCTTGTCACTTTAAATATTCTTTTCTACAGTTTTAAGGTTTCAAATCCATTCCCCATTCTCCATGAACCTGAGACTCCCCCCCTTTCCAGAGGGGCTGTAGCGGGCACAGTGTTGCCATGGAGGTGGGTTGTTGTCATTCTGCCTGTGTCCCGCGACGTGCCGCGCTCCAGCTTATAAACCCGGTGATATTTTTAGAGCCTCAGTTCACATTTCAGTGAACACTAAATATCTTTGTGTGTCAACAGATAATGAATGTCTCCCGCTGGAGCGTAAAGCATGTCGACGTAGCAAGGACGTAGTTTGTGCAGTTTGTGGAAGCTGACATCATTAAATATATCACTGGAATTTATTAAATTGATTTCACACAAACTCAGGAGCATTCCTTTCCCGGGAATAAAGCCAGCAAACACTGACACGCCAAGGAAGCTCGGTGACGCCTGAAAGGATTGGCGCCGGGAGCTGGACACAGAACTTTCCAGCCTTCGTTCCTCATCCACAGCCCAAGCGGAGCGGGCAGGCGGTGGGAGGCTGCTCCCTGGATGCAGCCGGGCCATGTGCGCATCACACACGCTCGTGGGGCATTGAAAACGTTTCCTGATGGTCTGCCCAGAGGAAACGTGGGCCGAACTGCCCTCACCTATTGCTTCATTTCTTATTTTCAATCTCCTCTTTAATAACTGACAGTGAGACTGTCCCCTCCGTATTTCGTATCAGCAGTACAGGGGCCATCTCCACCTGCAGGACTGACCATCTGGTCTCCTCAGCATCACCGTGTCCCTCCGTGGCCTGTCCAATGTTCTGATGTGTGATGAGAACTGAACATAGGATTCTTCCATGTTCACTGGGACTGGCCCCTTCTCTCCCAGCTGGAAACACCTCACGCATCTTAAGGCTCCTCTGTTTTTTTCACGCTCACATCGTTTCAAACCACAGCCGTCCTCTGAGCAGCCAGGACATATGGGCATCATTCTCCCTTCCTATTATTCCCTGAGGATGAGCTCCTGCTTTATAACGTTTTTGCTTAGTCCATGTGTGCACAACCTTATTCTTTGCACTGTTGAATTTCATTCCACTGTTACTATTACTCTTATCAAGAATGTGCAGTGTTGCATTGATAAGGCCTCTTAATTTCATGTGAAACTCAGAAAAGTTAATCACAATTTTAGTATTTCTCTCCTAAAGCCTTGCATTCCAGGAGGGGATGTACACAGGCGTATAACCTTGATCACACTTTCTTCTTTATATTACAGTCTCCGTTTTGTATTTTAGATCATACGATGCCACCCTTGGTGCTAAAAGCTCTTCCTGTCGGCCTCCCACGCTGTCCTGCTGTTCAGTTCCCCCCTCAGTGCGAGGGAGGAGCAGTCACTGCGGCCCCGCTGATAAAGGGCCTGAACTTCAGGGCCAGGTTTCAGGACCAAACACACGCACCTGCCCTGAGAAGTGTCCTGGGTGCTTAAATTCCACTCGTGCGGACAGGCTGCTGGAGGCACCGACTGCCAGGGCTAGCAAGAGTATGTAAAGCTGGGCCAGCTTTACATCAGAAAAGTACATTAAGGAGCCAATAAATGTTCCAGGAAATGCATGTTTTTGACCTGGATATCTCTGCGAAAATGTCCTTCACTCTCCAACATAGTTTTTCTCCTATCAGCTTTTCCCTCCTTTTTGCTTTTGTTTGGAATGTTTCTTTGGGTTGCAAATGGGAAATTTCTGGTTGGTTGTTTTGGATTTTGTTTAGCAAGCAGTTTACAGCTCTGCAGCTTCAGGAGGTGTGAGAGTTTAATTCATACACACATGAAATCCAGTCACCTTTGAAGCTTGATGGAAAACTCAGGAAACTGGAGTAAGGCAGAAATTTATCCTTTCAATGTTTATTTCATGGCAAATTCTTGAAATACTTTCACTGTGAGAGTGGCTCCGGAGCAACCTTTCCCAGCCCTGGCAGCTGGGCTTTTCTGAGAACTCTGTTATATGTGGCATGATTCGTATGAGAGCTCTGAGCAACACGATCCTCCGGATACGCTTAGTTCAGGAG